TTTCTGGGGCTGAGAGAGTGTGCATGCATATATATTTTTATATTTTTTTAATTTTTATTTATTTTATTTATTTATTTTTGGTGCTTCGGCCCCCCCAGTTGTCTGAGGGACAGTAACCCGGCCCCCGGCTCAACAAGGTTGCCTACCCCTGCCCTAAGGCAAGGGTCTATCGTGGGATTTTCTTGGCAAGATTTGTTCAGAGGAGGTTTGCCATTGCCTTGCCCTGAAGCTGAGAGCGTGTGACTCTTCCCAAGGTCACCCACTCGGTTTCATGGCTGAGCTGGGAATTGAAACCTGGCCTTGAGAGTTGTAGTCCAATGCTCAAACCACTAGACCATGCTGCCTCCCTAAGCAAACAATGGTGTGGTGCCCTGGGATTAATAAACAACCAGGGCTCGCTTCGATTATGAGAGCATCCATCCCATTTGTCCTGCAGAGGCTCAGCTTTGGAAAAACCATCTCCTCCAGGGAAGTTTCTAAACTTTTGGCCTGTTTGAAAACAAAAGGCCAGGCATTGCAACAATGTTCCTCTACAAAGCAACTCTATAGGGTTGAGCCTCCCTGATCCAAAATGCTTGGGGCCAGAAGCGTTTCGGAGTTCTCCAAAAGGAAAGGTTAAAGGTCTCAGTAGTTCCCAGAATTCCCTAGCACTGAGCCTCGGGTGCCACAACAAACTACCCTTCCCAGAATTGCATAGCATGGAGCCATGGCAGTTAAAGTGGTCTCAAACCGGATTATTTCTACAATCCTCTGTTCCTTCTCCCCATCATTTTAGGGACGATCCCCAGATCTTACCCCCCTCCCCAGATCCATGATCAACCTGTCACTGATCAGATCAACACCCCCAACCCCAAAAGCCCCCACTTCCTCCCCCCTTGGTGGGTGAACTATAAACTCCTCCAACCTCTCTCCAACTCTTGACTCCCCTCCTTTAGCTCCTCTGTTATAGATGCTCCTCTCCTCTCCTCCCCATCCTCCATCCCAGCTCTTCTTCCTCATACCTTGACACGAATCTGATGCAATTCAGACAGTGGAGTCAACCCAGGTCAGAAGAGGTGGCTGCAAGAGTAAAAAAAAGGTTTCTGGCAGGACGATGGCTTTGTTTGGCAAGAGACAAGTTCAGGGGCTCGGACTTCCTGCTGCCATATACTGGAACCTGAATTCTTTGTGGGTTTTGCTTTTTTAAAATGGTGCTAAGCTAACAGGTCTGGGCTTGCTGCCCTCTTCTGGAAGGAATGAATTGACCTGGAAGCCCAACACTCTCTCTCTCTCTCTCTCTCTCTCTCTCTCTCTATACACACACACAC